AGACTCAAGCTGTAATTTAGTCTATATTTTTAGATAATAAATTGCAAACTTATTAGTAAATACAGAATTATTCACTATATATTTAAATAATAATAAAGTAAAGAAGAAAATAAAGAAAAATTACTTTTATCAAAAGTATTAGAAATCAAGAAAAAGTATAAAAATATATTTTTAAAAATTTTATCAAACTAACTATTATTCAAAAAAATAATTAATTATAAAATTTATCTTATTTTAGAATCTGAATTATCATTTAGATTTACTTATAAACTCTTATTTATAAAGATAAATAAGCTAAAAAGTAATTAATAAATCTTATTCAGAAAGATTTTATTTATTTAAGTATTTTATCTTTTGAAGAATCAGTCTTATTTATATATAAAAAAAGATATATTAAAATTATATATAATCTATAGAGTTTTAAATAAAATTATTATAAAGAATCACTATTCTTTATTCAGAATTACTAATTTAAAATACTTCTTAAAGTTAAATTTATATTTAGAATATTACTAAATTCAAATAACTAAGAAAGATATATATAAAATTATATAATTATTATAAATTCTTGATCTTATTTTTTGATCTTATTAATATATTAATCATTATGATTCTAATAAATAATATCTTTTATAATTATCTTAATAAATTTGTAATTATATATCTAGATAATATCTTAATATATAGTAAATGAAAGAAAAAATATATATATATCTTCAAATTATATTAAAAATACCTTGCAAATATAAATTATATATAAAATAAAAGAAGTATAATTAAAGATAGCTTTGTGACTTGCAGTAGCTAATCAGAGAATTATAATAGAGTTACGGCTAGTTGCAGTTCTCATCACTAAGTGTGATATTATATAGTAATATATTAAATATAAAAAAAATTATTTGTAATTATATATACTATTTGACTTTGAAAGTTAAAGGCAAAAGTTTATAATAATTATAAATTATATCTTCTTAAAATATATTAAAATATAATATAATCTTTTCAAGAAATAAGCTTGGTAATTAGAAATCTTATAGACTAGTAATTTTAAAGTAAAATATAAATTTGACAAAAATAATATTATTACAAATATACTTTTTTATTAATTATATCTAGCAAATATTATAGTTATTATTAATCTTTTTAATAAAGAAGAATTAATAAAAAAGTATCTGAAAGATAAATATTTTGCAGAAATATATAAAAATCTTGAAGAATATTAATAATATAGTACTCAAGTAATAAATTAAAACAAAATATTTTGAATTAAAAAAAGATATATTTATTTAAAAAATATAAATCACTTGATTTTACCTAATAATAAAATTTTAAAAGTCAAGATACTATTTGAATTTTATAATATATTAATAGCAAAATATATTAAAATAGATAAAATAGATATAATAATATTCTAATAATTTTATAAATCAAAAATAAATAAAAATATTCATAAATATATTATTAGTTATAAATCATATTAGTATAATAAAAGTAATAATTAATAATTTTTAGGATTATTTTAATTTCTTGCTATTTTAAAAAAGAAATAAGAATATTTTACTATGAATTTTATAATATAACTTTCAATTATTAAATCTGAATATAATATTATAATTATATTTGTAAATAAATTATTTAAAAAGTATAATTTATTTCTATTATTATAATAATAATAAAATTTGATATAGTTATATTATATAAATATTATTATTAGCTATCAATTATTAATTATATACTTAGTTAATAACTAAATACTTATTTGACAAACTATATATTCAGACTATATATATAATATATATATAAAAATATTTTTCAAAAATACTTTAAATTATATAATTTATCTATAATTATACTATCAGACAGAGATATAAAATTCATAAATTACTTTTAAAAATTATTTTTTAAATAATTAAATATTAAATTAATTATATTTATAGCTTTTTATGCTCAATTAAATAATCAAATAGAAAAACTTAATAGAATTTTAGAAGAATACTTAGAATTTATGCTATATATTAGTAAAATAAATAGAATAAAAATCTAGTTATTATAGAATTCACTTATAATAATAGTAAAAATACTTTAACTAGTTACATATTCTTTAAATTAAATTATAAATAGATATCTCATATATCAATTAATATTTTATCATTACAAAATAATATTATAGTATTTTAAAATTTCATAATATATTAGAATATTATGATTAAAACTACTAAAGATTTGCTACTTAAAGTGCAAGATAAGCAAAGTAAATATGCTAATTAATAATAAAAGATATAAAAAATTCAATTTTGAAAATAAAGTTCTTTTCTTTAATTATAATATAGATACTTCAGTAAATAAATAAAGAATAATCAAGAAACTTATATTAAAATTTATTGAATTCTTTAAAATTACTAGTAAAATATTTCTGTTACTTATAAATTATAACTATTAATAAATATAAAACTTCATCTGGTATTTTATATATTACTTTAAAGAAATATAATTCAGATAATGAGTTTAATAGATACTAATCATTATTAGTCATCATTATTTTAGATAATAAAGAAAAATATGAGATAGAAAAAATTTTTGATAAAAGAATTTATTATTAAAAACTCTAATAACTTGTTAAATAATTCAGAAATTCTCTTTATAATATAATATAAGAATTTTTAAAAACTTAAAAAATACTATGAAGAAGATAAATATCTTTGAGAGATCACATACTTAAATATAATAAGAATATTATATTTTAAATAGAGAGATATGTAATTATTTTGATTAGATTATTTTCTTTTAGTTAAATCTTTATTTTGTGTTATTTGTATAACAGATTAGCTTCTATATTACTTTCCTTGAAGATAAATTTTATTTTGAATATATAAATGATTATTTATATATTTAATATATTAGATTTAATACATTGTTATACAGATAATCATTATATATATCTATATTATTAATTTGAAAAATTAATATTTTTAATTAGATTTCTTTTTAATATTTTTTTATAATTTCATTCATACTTTTTTTATTATATTTATATTATTATTTATATTATTATTAATTTATTGGATTATGATTAGTTTATTCTTCAAAGATGTGAATTAAGTTAATTAATTTTATTAAACCATATATATTTAATTATAGAAATTATTATTAATTTATTCATACTTTGTATTTATTTCTTTTACTATAAATATATTCTTTTTGTTCTGTACTTTTATCTTAGATCTGAATATCATTCAGATAATAAAATCATAAGTTTATAAATTGAAACTTTTCATATTATATTTTATCTTATTTACAATTATTAACAAAATAATCTTACACTTAATATAATTTTAATCTAATACAATTTTATTTAACAAGTTTGTCTTGTATTATTTAAAGTATTTTAAAAGAAAAATAATATATTAAGTTTTTAAAATAAATAAAAATCTTGTTAAATTATATAATAAATTTGAATATAATAAAGTAATCTATTTTTTTAATATAACTAGATTTTTATTATATTTAGATAGAAAATTATATTAAAAAAATTTGATATTTTAGAAAACTTTATTATAAGTAACAATTTGTTTTATTTAGATTTTATTATATTTAGATTCATTATATATATAAAATTATAAGAAATAGAAGTTTAGATTCATTTTATATATATAAAATTATAAGAAATAGAAGTTAATAAATCTTTAATAATAAGTATTAATTAATATTTTAAAAAGTTTAGAAATTATTAATTCTTTTTATAATAACAAGAAGATTCTAAAGAATTATTAAAAAATAATTAAAAAATATTAAAACTCTTAATTAATATGAAAAACAAATTAAAATTAATAAATTTTCTAATTAATAATATTATTATTAGGTAAATATATACAAATATAAAAAATAATATTTATAATTTGTATAAATTAATACAAATAAATTATTTATTTATTTAAATCGGAGTTATAACTAGTAATATAATTATTATAATAATCTAATTGTTAATAATCCATTCTCAAGGGATGTATTTATAGAGTTGACTATATGTCTATTTGTTAAATACACTTTCAATTATATATATCATCTAAGTCATCAAATATAAATGCTTAACTTAGATGCAAATATAAATTCAAAATTTAACATATTTACAGATTAAATTTTGAATTTACTTCTTAATTAAGAAGTAAAGACAGAAGTGCAAGAGCGAAAAATGAATAATCTTTATGTGCGTGTAATAAATATATTTTCAGATTTTTCTAATATAGATGATTTTACATGTATAGGTAGATTTTTCAGTCTGGCTTATTAATATATTTTTTGTATTATCCCTTTATTACACAAAATGTATTACTTAAATTACTTAAATTAATTAAATTGACAATGACAATGACACAAAAAAGATAATGTCATCACAAAATTTCCCGTATTTTGCGGAATATAAGCAACATCCCCGTATTGGTTTTTTACCCTATTTTTTCGAACTTAAAAAAAAATAGTGTCAAACTTTTGATTGGATGATGTAAATATATATCGATATACATGTACATAAAGATTAACAATAAAATAGGGTATATAATCATGTGTTGCTTATATAAGTATTCCGCAAAATACGGTAAAATAACGATAGTACTTCTCGCATAATTATTACATGTACATGAACATTGTTATAATCTTGATCACATTATTACATGTACATGTACAGTCAATAATTTTAAAAATGGGAAATTATAAGTTGGTCGAATAAGATTTTTCAAAAATCATAAAATGATCTACAAAAATTAGCCAATCACAATGAAAATTCGCAGCAGAAAAGAAAATTAAATATGTCTAAAATTAAGCAACTAAAAGTCCTATCAGGGTAATTATGATTAAAAAACTTAGTCTCAACAATTAAAGCCTTTAAAATTGGTTGGCAAGACTGAATATTTGTAACTTAGTTATGAAAAACTTTTGTTTCTTGCTTCACAAAATATTCGAACGACGACGAGAAAAAGACCTAGTATCGATAATATGATCCTAACTTAAAATCTAAAGGTTTGATTCTTGTCAAAAATTTCTTCAAGCTTATGCCTCAGCTCACTATAATTAAAGGATCCAGATCTCATTAACCGTAAATAAACCTTTATGGCCTCATGTTTATCACTATTCGTACCAAATCCACTATAATGGAAAATCGCCACAGTCGTCGTACCACTTATTGAACCCGTTTCCTCCAGCATCTGGAACCAAGTTAGTGCGGTACGTTGGTTCTGAGGAACACCGTCCCCAAAAAAATGCATCCACCCGATAGCCGCATAAGCTTCACCAAATCCAGCCTCGGCGGACTTTTTATTAAAGTACACAGCGCGCCCTACATCCATCTCGACACCCTCCCCTCGCAAATATTTACGAGCGAGATGATATGCGGCAATCGCCATTCCAGCATCTGCAGCTTTCGAGAACCATTTGATCGCTTCGTCGAGATTCTGATCGGTGCCAATTCCTTGCTGATAAAAGATGCCAACTTCCTGTTGGCCTAATGTGTCGCCGATTTCGGCAGCTTTTTTGTACCATTCAAATGCTTTGGCGTTGTTATGTCGTGTTCCGAAACCACACACGTTAAAGAATGCCAACAATGTCCAGTATTTACTTTGATCTTGTCGTTTTTCAGCTAAGCTGAATATAATTTGGGGAGTTATATTTTTGTCGGAAAGCCAATTACTAATTTGAAGTTCGATGTAATCATCATACTCCCATCGATTGTTTCCTTCGATGAATATTTCACGAACTTTATCTAGTATCCAGACTTCTTCCTCGTTATCGGTTTCTAGGTATTCGACTGGTTCAATTGGCATATTTTCTTCCATTTTGTGTCTATTATTATTTTTTTTTGCGGCACTGAGTTTTTGATTTTATTATTTGTTGATTGATTAAAAATTTTGTGATTTTCTAATGTGATATTATTTGGAATTAAATTTTTCGATATCGATAGAAAGAAAATTTACTAGTAATGATTTATCTATCGTTTAACATTAAAAATTAAAACCTCATTTTAACACTAAAAATAGAAAAATTGTGATACATTACACAAAGTACATACAATTGTTGTGTAATAATGGATTAATAATTATATCACATGTAACGGTACAGATTTTACGCAGTCGTATATCGATATTGAATTATACTCGGTTTACATTTATAATACAGATTCTAAACCCAAACGCGTTAACATTCATGTTTCGACGCGATTAACAATTTGTTTGAGTTTGCAGCGATTTGGTTACTTTATGTATGTATAGTGTGTGAACGTTCATTTATTTCACCATAACAGAAAATATTTGATATTAAAACATAACGATAATAATTTTATTTAAGAAAAGACAAATTTCCTAGAAAATATACGATATACAACAATAAATAACTAAAGATCAATTCAAGATTCATTTACATTATATGCTCGCGGAATTTTCGTTTAGCTCTTGCCAGGAAACAAGGACCATCCCTTATTTTTGAACATCTTGTAGACCTGAATGAGATTCAAAATAGAAAAAATGTTTCACAATCAACAATGAATCTAAAGGATGCAAAAACACAAAGCGAAGAAACTCACAGAAATAAACAGCGTAATGTTAAGTCCAGCCAGTGAGAACACAAGCGCAACACAAATAGCACTCAACACACCGGCAACATATTTCGAGTGTTTGAAACATTCGGACATAGCGATTAGACCACCACCACCACCAGCGAACACTCCGATTCCGATGAAGATATCAAAGAAGATGAATAACGCTTGTGCTAGAAAGAAAAAGCGTATTAACGTTGGGGATTCTGATCTATTTAAATGTAATAATAAAACATCATTTAGAATCATAGTTGTAATACACATTCATGTTGAGTTACTCAATCACCTAATTCCACGATATAAATTCCAGTGACGTCCGACAAAGTCGATTACTGGCAATATCAAAAGATAAAGAATCGAAAGAAGAATCGCAACGATCATTGATCCCCATATTCCAGTCGTTGCCAAACCGATTACAGCCACAAGGTTTGCAACCAGAGTAATAGCATAAACTACAGTTATTTTTTTAATTTGATTCAAGAATCAAATTAAGATTTTTTATATTTTTTTATCTAGTAAACAACGACGTATAATTAATGATTAGAATAATGATTACGTTTCCAAAGGAGATAAGAACGCTTCACTAGTGCATTCTCATGGGCTCCATCAATTTCTGCATCAATGTCGTGATAGATGATAGGCTTAAAGGATGGCCTGTTAAAAGAACAAGATTCTTCAGTTCACAAGTGTATGAAAAATTTCACATTAAAAGAAAAATAATTGCTGACCAATTTTTTTTGTCTTCCGTCATTTTTTTAGAAAAATAATACTGTACTGTATTTATAGTGTTACTCGACTGTTTTATTGTTTATTTGGTAGATTACTCTTATCGTTATCGTTATCTTTTTTTTTGTCGATTTTATTTCGTTAAATAAATAAGAAACAAAAACACCAACAACTATGACTACATGTATTATGGTGGTGCATACGTACCGTATCAATATAATGTATTTTACTACGCAACTGGCTTATTGTAATACATTTTTAACGTTAATGTCGCACATATAACGATAATGATAAAGGGGGGCGCTTTTTGTTTGAAAATCCATGTGATAACTTATACGTCATTTACTTCTCTGGTAATAGATTATACCGATACCGATACTAACGCTAATTTTTTGAGGCTTAGTCACATTTTTATTGAAATAATATCGAGAATGTTTTACTAATTTTGTTTGATACAATAATTATTTCAATTTATATATAACGATAGATGTGCATATATCGATACCTAAAACGTGAATTCAAGGATGGAATCGAACACTTACGATTGTGGTAAATGTATTCGTTGTCAAGAAATGAGCTCTGCTCTGGATGTTTCAAATATCACAAACGAATTTATGGCCTAGCGAAAGTGAAAATATCGAAATTGTAAGCAATGATACAAGACTTACAAACAAAAGGTTTTTGGGGCGGTTTATAAAAACAACTTGGTTGGGATAGAAAATTTAACAAATGAAGAAAATAAATTTGAACGGGATGTCGAAATCATTACACAATTCAAAGCATATCACTCCGGCGTTTGTAGACGAACATTTCCTAAAGTGAAAGCAAATTGATCTAATGTTTCTAAGATTATGGAATAACAAAGAACCAGCCTAGTTACAGATGAATAATAACGTCTTAGTTGGAACAGAATGTGTATTGATTCAGAATTGGATATTAATATCGTCTTTAACGTCCACCTACACGCACGTTATTTCGAGACAATGGGTCCTCGTAACGCTCATGTGTGTTGCACATCTATGATTAAAAAATATTTATTTCTTTTTCACTCGTATTTATGTATTTTGTTTTGTTTTACATTTTCAAGTTTTCTTTCGTATTACACGACGAACACCCATAATATAAAATGTGATCGTGTGCAAGTTTTTGCTTAATTTACAAGTGAACGTAAGCAAAAATGAGACTATGCTATCACGTTTAAACTTGGAAATCATTTTATATGGAAGCTACTTACGAAATCGACGGGAAACAGGTTCAAGAATGGCGACAACAAAAAGAGTTCGAGGTTGTGCTGAGGTCGAATTTATTATTATATTAAAAAATTATCAAGTTTATCAATTTATAGAGGTGCGCGTTATTTCGGGACGCCATGAGCGTTATTTCGAAACCATGTCTGCTATTTTTAAAGGATACGACTTTCGAAATAAAAAATTATAAGTATTTTTATACTATTAACAAAAACTTTAGTATGGTCCGGTGCAAAAAGATTGGTACATCAAATAAATATTAATAGATTATTTTTTCAAAATAGAATTTTAATTCTGTCTTATTTAATTAAGTTATTAGGTATTAGGATTTGTTTGAATGTAAAAATTTTTATTATATATCTTTTATAAAAAAAATTTTACTAATATAAACTTTTTTGAATTATTATTT